TTAAAGCCAATGAACAGCTCAAGTCAAGGGATAAGTGCCCGCGCAGTTTTTCGGACTAATTTAATTACAATCTATTTCAATTCAACCTTATTTCATACAATGCAGCTTTCTTGGACATAAAACCTCTTGTATTTTCTAAGCCCCAGTGCCCTCACTGTGAGGCAAATTTATTATTAAATAGTGTGGAAGCCCTCTTTTTGTGCTACACTAGTTGCCTTGTGTTTTTCTTTGTTTGCTGTCATTGCACAGCCTGTGTTTAAATAACATTAGTGCCAGCCCAAGGTTGGACAGGCAGCTGCAGTGAGGTGATAATGCCACGCTGACAAGGAAGATCAGGGAAGATCTCTGTGAGGAGGAACAGTCTTAAAAATGTACTGCAAGTGCAGAAATTGTCAAAATTGTAAATTGTGTCAATGGCCCAGCCCAATGAATGGACTAGGTGACATTTGCAGGGTGGCACAGACGTGTGTTGTGTGTGTTCATGTTCAAATACCTGCAGTACAGAGACAGGATTAAAGTGCTTTTGTGGCTCTTGGCTTCCATAAATGAGCTTCTTAAACTGGAAATCTTTCACAAGTGTCATTAAATAAAAAAAAAATCTGGTTGATAAGAATATTATATCACTTGGGCCTTCAGCAGCTTTTCTGTCTGAGAGTATGTGGGGTTTTTTTTGTTTTGTTTTGTGGGTGTTTTTTTGGTTTTTTTTTCTTTTTCTGTCTGAGAGTATGTGGGTTTTTTTTGTTTTGTGGGTGTTTTTTTTGGTTTTTTTTGGTTTTTTTTTCTTTTTTTTTGTTAAGCTGTGAACATTATTAGTGGGGTTTTTTTTTCTGCAAATTCATCTTTGATGTGACGTGGCTGCCAAATTGTATTAACATTTCCTGGGGCCAGATGAAAGCTGTTTGGAAGCCGTGGCAGTGTCCTTGCCTGGCTGCAGCGATACAGAATAGATGGCATTTGTGCCCTTTGGCTTGTGTTCCATCCTGGAGCAGGAGGGCAGCTCTGGTTTGTGTGGCTGTGGATGACAGAGTTCCTGTCACCACACACCTCACTTGGTGTGTGCCAGAGTGTGATTCCTTATTGGATTTATTGATCTGCTGTATTCCTGCAGCCTGGCAAGGGCTCTGATTTCATTATCCTTCCAGGGCAAATTAGAGCATGAAGTATTTCTTAGACACTTAGTAGCCAGAAGCAGGCAGGGGAAAAAGCAGTAACACACTGTTTTATCTTGGAGAAATGTCTCAGAAAGGACTTTCTTCCTTGAAAATTGCCTTTCTTGTAACTTCTGACTGAGAGGCAGTTTCTGATCCATCTTTTCTACAGGATTGGATGCAGGAGGTGGGTGTGCTTCTGTAGGAGGAGCTCTGTGCAGACATTGCTGTGTGTCTGTGGTTTATTTGGTTTCTTTAGGTTCTGGACCTCCATGAACAGCCAGTGCTTGCCCAAAAATGCACTGTCTGCAGTTATTTCGTGGGCATGAAATTGGGTTTGCAGGCGTTCCCTGTCACTGCTAGTACTCAGCAGGGCACTGATGAAAATCTCCCTCAGGGTGGAGAGATTTGGGGGAATTTCACACAGGTGACTGCTGAAACCAATAAAGATGACTGAGGCTTTTGTGAGGCTGCAGAACTTGACTTGTTTTGAAAAGCATCCAATATGATTTCCTAGCTGAAAGTGTAGACAACATTTTCAATTTGTTTCCTTACTCTTGCCTTCTGCTAGGGAAAGTTTTCTGTTCCCTGGTGGTCAAGAGAGTTCTCTAATAACAGGGAAAAATAAGTAAACAGGGAACTGAATCAAGAGCTATAGTTTTATTTGAGAAAGAGTGACAAAGTACATGGCATATAGAGGTAACTGGAAATTTGTTGGAGAACTGGTGTGTACTGGGATTACTCTGTCAGTGCTAAAGGATTTGTAATGGTCATTAGAGCATTGAGATCTCCAATAAAAGTAATAACAGATTTACTGCTCAGCAGGTCTTTATTTCAGTGATGTTTCACAGTGATAAAATGACATACAAGCCCCATTTTTCAACCAAGTTTAATCCATTGTAAAATTTTATACCTCGTTCTCATACATGCTTTACAGTAATGTGAAAATCAGTGTGTGTTTTCAGTATTTTCGAAGGAAAACTTTGAAATACTCTTCTATTTCCTATTTAGAAAAAGCAGTTACATACACCACAGAGAGAACTGCTATCTCTACAGCACAACATAGGAAATAATGTCATGCTTGTGTAATTGTACAGCTACTTGAGACAGTCTTGAGTGACTTTTGAGAAGTTGTTGACCCCGTGGCTCAAATGTATCTTTAGGATGATAACATCAGTGTTTTCATGGGGGCAGGTTTAAATCTACCATGCTCTTAAACACCAAGGGCAGATTTATGCTTGGCATATCTCCCTTGGCAACACTGGCACCAAACCAGGGAGCAATTTTCCCTATTGCACTTAGCAACATGTTTCAGATTTGTAGTCCATGGAGCCATTAAAATATGACTCCATTAATTAGAAAGTAATTGTGGTATTTCTTTCTAGTGCTGAGGGATTAACTCCGTTTAATCTCGGTGTGGTTAACAAAGGCAGTTAGCTACTTGCTTTAAATATGAGTTAAGTCTGTAAAAATTAATAATGACTTCATGGAGAGCAGGACTGGCCCCGTGGCACGTGCCCAAAAATTGGGCTGGTGACTTCACTGAGTTCAGTGCTGATGTTGAAATGAAGGGCAATGTGATGGAGCCCCAGGGGCTGTTCTGTAGGTGGTTTGCACTTCAAATCCACATGCAAGCTTGCTATCTTTAAAAAAGATCATGAAAGAGAATACGAAGCTGTATCCAGCTCCAGCCCTCTGTGCTGATGCCAGCTCTTGCTTTAGGGCACCCTCCATGAAGCAGCAACAGGAAGAAACTGAAGCAGAATTGTTGAGCACTTGTCAGTATTTGCTGTCACCAGTAATTATTATTAGCAAATCCATCTTGGCATGCTGGATGTTAGACAAAAGCCAGCAGTGGAGCTGGAGTCTTTGAGATATTTTTCTTCCAGAGCTGGGGTGATGGCATTAGGATATTCTTCTTCCAGAGCTGGGGTGATGGCATTAGGATATTTTTCTTCCAGAGCTGGGGTGATGGCATTAGGATATTTTTCTTCCAGAGCTGGGGGTTCCCATCCTGTTAGCTGGTAACCAGCACACTCTCCATCCTAATTCATTGCAGTGCAGAGAAAAATCAGCTGCCTCCATCCATCTGTGGAATTCTTCACTGCTGTCAGCTGGTGGTGTCAGGAAGGCTTTCTAGGATTTTACCACTGGGTTTGGAAGTGTTTGAAAAACAACAGGTAAAGCAAGGAGCTGTTATTGTACAGTGTCCTTGGCTTTGGGTAACACTTTAGTCCTGCTTGGGTCTGCCACTCTGCCAAAGTCTTGTCTTGCTGGAGTAGAAAACCCTCAGCTTTAAGGCAAGTAAAACATATTTCTAATGAAGGATATTGTAAGGAGATTTATGATCTCTCTTGGCACATTCTCTTTTAGTGCATAGGGAGGGTCCTGCAGCCACGATTGCCTGCCTTGCTGTAGAGAGCTATTAAAAAAAAAAGAGGAACAGAAGGGTTAAAGCTGAGAAGAGGCAGCAGGAGGGATGTGGGGGGCTCCCTGGGGGGAAGGGGAGAGGAAGTGAGATCTGCTGTGGCTGGAAGTTTGCCTTTTACTTTTTGCTGGTAGCAAGGCTGTGATCTGTGGAAGGTCTACTGAAAAGACTGCTTTTTTTTTTTTTTCTTTTTTTACCATATTCCCAAGATCTGCAAAAAGGGAAAAGAATCATGTTATTTGCCCTGTGTGTTACCTGTGATCCATGTGGTGCCAGCCTTGCCCCACGTTTTGGTGGCTGCTGTCCCTGACCCTGCTGTCCACCTGCACCATCCCTCCCTGGGGAGCAAGGGCTGCTCCCTGTGAGGAGCTGGGATCTCACAGGCTGACCACGAAAGGTTTCCTCTGCTTCTTTTCACCAGGGGGTTGTACCTTTGATCTGGGGCTTTCCCATCTGGACTGGGAGCTCCCACCTGAGGTGCAGCACCAAGTCCTCTCCATCCTTCCAGCTGTGCTCCCTGAAGCCATCCACCATCCTCTTTCCTGAAACCAGCCTCTTGCTCCTGGTCCTCCTTCCCTCTCCCAAGCCTCTGCACCCACTTCACCTTCTCAGCTCCTTCCTGAAGGCTGCTGGGAAGCAGGAGCCCTGCTGGGGCTGTCTTTGTGTCCTTTGTTCCGTGCTGGTGGGTGTAACTGGCAGGGGAGGTGCAGGGGCTGCAGGAGGGTCTGCAGAGATGCCAAGGTGATGCTGTGGGAGCTGGGAATCTTGTTTTAAGGTAGATGGCTTCCCCCTGTCTGTTACCCCTCTGTTGTTGAACAGAAGGATGACTGGAGCTAGCACTCCTTTTTTTTTTTTTTTTTGGTCTTCTTTCCCCTCCCAGTTCCTTTGCAGAAGCCTGAAGTTCAACATTGTAGAAAATGCAAAATAATCTCATTATTTATTCATGTAGGTGAATAATTACTTATTACTCTCTTTGGTTAATGAAGGATTTAACAAAACCAATTGTTTCTTTTTTCTTCCATTCTGCCTACTCAACCCTCTCTTAAAAAGGCAAAAGCAAACTGCTTAGATACTTCAGTAGAGAAACTTGAGTAAAAACTCCATTTATTTATTCAGAATGAAAAACTTGTGATGTTGCCCATACCCCCCTACACTACAGAGTGGTAATCTAATCTAGGATGTTATGTGTGTGTTTTTATGTTACACATATGAAGCCCTGACATGCAGCTGCACAAAGTAAAACTGAGAGCCCAGAAGATGGAAAGCTGTGCTAAGAACTCACCACAAAGTTCTTGGTAATGTATTTACTGATGGCAAAGTCTGCTGGTTCAACACAGTCTGTCCCTGAATGAATGAACTGGATGTGTATCACCTTTCCTGCAGCGTGCAGTGGATTTCATTTGCTCTGGTTTTGTTTTTCCTAGGGCTGCCAGAATGAGCACACAGGTGAAACAGGAAAGCAGATGACTGAATCTTTCAAGGTACGTGCCAGTGGCCTTCAGGAGAAGGTTTTTTTCCATTGGGTTCCAAAGTAAGGATCACAGAAGGGCTCCAGAGCACTGCAGCTTGGGAACATTATCAGCACTCCACAACAAACAGGGCTGTGAGAGTCAGGAATGCTGAGCAGCTGCCAGGAGCTGACATGAAATTGCATCCCTCTCTTTTTATTTTCATCTTATGCCTAGAAATGAGCTCAGTTAAGATACCATTCTTTGCCTCCTTCCTGAATGCAGTGCTAGTAACTAAGAGCTCATTTTAAAAACTGTATGGGTACAGATGTCAGCTTCCAGTTTTCTGTTGAGAGTGCAGAGCCTGTCAGCTTGTGCTCCTTTGAATTCCACATCTGTCCTAATTTCCTTTTTCCTGCCTTTTCTGCATCTTTTGCCTTTATTCTTTGTCACACATCTGTAATTCTTTTTCTCTCTTAATCCCTGATTTACAGTCTTTAAAAAAGCCTTATCTATATTTTGCAGAAATATAAAAGTAGTACTCGGAAAAATTCATGTGTTTTTTTTAGCAGTTCCCTTCCTGTTCTTTCTGACTATTGTCAGCAGGACATGAGATGAAATTAAAATGATGTGCTTTTTAAGTGTTGTGTTCTTCCTGACTTTTTTGGGCAGTGCCACAGCTGTGCAGTCTTCTGAACTATGCTTAAGTGATTATTTCCCCTTCAGTTGTCAGGCTCTAAACAGATGTGAAAAATTAATGTTGCAATAAATATTTGATAATGTATTATAATATATATTATTATATATATATTATTATATATATTATTTTTATTATATTATATATACTATTATAATATATATTATTACTATATATATTATTATATATATTATATTATTATTATTATATCTTGCTCTATCTTAGTATCTAGTATCAATATAACCTACAGATATAATATCTTTGATAAGGTTTATTCTGATGTTGGTCTCTTTGAAAACAGCAAGGAATTCTTGAGAGAATTTCAGAATTTCACCATGTAGCAGCATGCCATTTAATTTCTATTTCCTCATTCTCAGCCCTTCCCAGTTCTTCTCTTCCTCGTTTCTTCGTCTTGTGCCTCCCTGGCAATTCTGCCCAAGGAGGAAAATTCAGGGTGACTTTTCAGCTAGAAGGTCTGATTGAAAAATGCTGACAAAACCAGGCATGCAGCCAGTTTTGAAACCACAAGAAATCACAAGTGTGGAGTGCAGGGGCTGTTTTGTGGATTCACCTTCAATAAACAGACAGATCTCAGTAGATTCATCCAGCAGAGTGTACTGGGGTATTTGCAAACAAGAATTGCTGTGCAAGAGGAGATCCTTGTGTAACTGAAGCACACTTTCACTCACTGAGGCAGTCCAGAAGGAAGGCAGTGACAACAAACTTGTGTTTGGGTCACAGGTGAGCTTGGCATAAACTAAACCAGGCTTAAGGCAGATTGAATTGTACCAGCAGTCAAGCAGGTGCCTTACCAAAGCTCCAAATACCGGGTGGCACAAAGCTGGGTTTAGTCCAGGTTCCTTTGCTCTGATATTTGTGTGTCAGCCAGAATGGCAAATCATTTTAGGGGAGAGGCTGGGTGAGGGGAAAAACACATTAGCAGGTGGGACAGATGGTCATAAAGGGAATAATGCTAGGGGAAAGCAGCTGGCTCAGGCTGAAGTCTGATTTGTAAGACTTCATTCCTGCCTTATGGCTCTGTTTCTGAAGGTGAGCTGAGGTTTTCTAGAAATGTAGAGATTTCTAGAAAATGCTGTACTGTGGGAAGTGTGTGTTTGAAAGTTAAGGTGAGAACATAGGTCCTGGTTGTAGTATCGTGCATTATAATAATTATTTTTCAGCCTCTTTATCTTCGCAGTAAAATTAAGAAGGAAAAACTTCATAAATGAAGACAAAACCAGCAACAGAAAATGAAAATAAAATAGCCTGGATTCATTCTAGGGAGCTTCTCAAACATTTTTGTGGAAGACAGTTACGGGGTTACAATTTCAGAAACTATAGCTAATAATATTTCAAAGGAATCAAGCTGACCCATGGGGCTGACTGTGCTGAGCAAAGCTGCAATTTTGTGCCAGTGACCTAAGCAATCCAAGATTGTGGGAGTGCAGAAAACAGGGTATGGTTTTGGTTAAAGCTTACATAAAACATATTGTTCACAGTGGGTCACGGCCAACATTTGAATGCCAGCTTAGCCCTCTGAAGACGTTTCTGCTCAGAATGCAGTGCTGAGCTTTTTCTTTTTAGGTGGGCTGAGCTGCTTTCAGTTGTGCTGCAGTTTCTGCCTGGCTTTGAAAGGTGGAGTCAGAAAGTCCCTATACCCTGGGAGGGAAGGCATGAATGTTAGCAAAGTTTCTGGCACTGAGCCCCTCTGACTGCTGCCTGTTCTCTGTTCTCATGCTTTTTAAAAGCAGCAGGTCAGAATTGGCATTTCCTCCATCCTGACTGCCACTGAGCTACCTTAATTTGACTCAGTTCTGCAGTTAAAAGTCTCATCCTGGCAGGTCTGTGTTTACATTTAATGTGTGGCATTTAGAGTTGGCTTGTGAGCAGTGATCTTGGAACAGCTGAGAAACATTGAAGGAAACAGTGATTATGCTGCAGTTTCCTGTATTGCAGAAAGTGCCAGATCTCCAGGATTTATCTGCCAAGCTCCTTCCACGTGAGTGAAATCATCTTCACTCCCTCAACTGCTGTATGCATTTATAAATGTATTTGTTTAAATAGCAGATGGTGACTTGTGGCCACACCTAAGTTGCAGTTTTTGTCTATAGCCAGCACTGGATCTCTGTGAGGGGATATCACACCAGTCATGGGGAGTACAGTCATCCTTTGTGCCACTGAATGAATTTTTGGGAAGTTGGATCAAGAAATGCACGTATCTGATTTTGTTTTTACACTTGCACCCAATAATTCCATGAAACAGCACACAATTATGTTGAAGGCACTTAATTTTTATGGCTAAAAATCTGGTAGCTCCTTTAATGCGTTCATTCTGCTCATTGTGCTGTCACAAGACAGAATGAATGTTGTTTGGAGAATGCAGCAGTCTGTTTCCATATGTAACTCTGATTTGGTTTCTGTAATGTGTGAGTTCTGACTTGGAATCCCTGACATTTGATGTTAAGAAACTGAAGGTGTCTGTTGCGCCTTTTATTTCTCTCATATCCCAAAAGATGATTTAATGTAGCCTTTTGTCTTGGACTTTTTCTTTGTTTTCCCTTTGAGACTGATACATGGAGCACTTCAGAAAGGTATTAGCTACTCCTGTAATGTTTCTCTGAGTTTCAGTGATCTGAACCTCTGGAAAAACTGGCATTGTCATGGTGCAAACTTCTTTTGTTTCACTTTTTACCAGCCTGCTTAGTGTGCCAAAGTGGTGCAGGCTTTCTAGGGAGTTTCTAGGGAATGCTGGCTGCTTTGCCACACCGAGGCAGAGTGGAGTAGCTGTAGCTTACAGGTGGACCTGGATTGAGTTGCTCATGGGAAGGCTTGTGGTGGCAGAAGGAGAAATGTTTAACTCTTTAATTCAGTGCTTGTGCTATATTGGTGACATTTTCCTCTAATGTTTGGGAGGAATGATGAGGAGGACTCCATCTTACCAGAAGGCTAATTAATTACTTCATTATACTGTATTATTCTATACTATATTACCTTACATCTAAACTGAATCTGCCAAGCACTCCACTGCACAGAATCTCGTGACTGACAGCTGACATTCCCAAAACACACAAACACACCTGGATCCAGTTGGTCACTGAATGAAAACACACCAGAATCCAATCACCAATTCCCTTCAGGTGAACAATCTTCCACGATGCATTCCACCTGTGAACAACCCCAGGTGCAACAAATGAGAGAAGAACTGTTTTTCCTTTCTCTGAGTTCAGAGAGTGAGTCTCAGACTATCCTTGGGAAGTTGTGCCTTGCTTTTCCCTGTGGAATGTGGCCACAGTGCTACTCTGAATATCTGTGAGTGCTCCCACAGTTTTCTGCCAGGCTCTGTGCCAGTGGGATGTGAGCCCCTGGCTGCAGCATCTTGGGCTTGCTAGACAAAGTGCAGTCCTCTCCTGATGCTCCTGCAGGGCTTCCAGTTCAGGCTATCTCCCCTCCAGCCAGGTGAGGTGCTGGATACACTGAATTTTCCATAGGGATGTATGGCTTGGTGTTTGTTTCTTGCATTGCTGTAACGTTTTTAGGCTGTGAATTAGGTGATGCTGTGCTACGTATTGTACAAATCTGAATATAAAGATTATTTCCACTCTACATGTATTACCCCCCCCAAAAAAAAAAAATCTCTGATAATTTTTCCACAGAATCTAAAGCTGTAGTGTATTTACACAAGAAGAAACTGAAATTCTTTTTCCAGTGCAGGTTCAAATTTCCATTTGTGGTTCAAACTGAGAGATTGCCAGTGAAAGTTTTACATTACTGTGAGCCGTAATCATTTTTATACTAAGGGAGCCTGTGATTTGTGGTAAATGCAGTGGGATATAGAATTTCTTACTCTGGGAATTGGGAGAGAAAACAATCCATTTTGAGAAAATAGATGGTTTTAAGCTACCCCCCCCAAAAAAAAAAAATCTCTGATAATTTTTCCACAGAATCTAAAGCTGTAGTGTATTTACACAAGAAGAAACTGAAATTCTTTTTCCAGTGCAGGTTCAAATTTCCATTTGTGGTTCAAACTGAGAGATTGCCAGTGAAAGTTTTACATTACTGTGAGCCGTAATCATTTTTATACTAAGGGAGCCTGTGATTTGTGGTAAATGCAGTGGGATATAGAATTTCTTACTCTGGGAATTGGGAGAGAAAACAGTCCATTTTGAGAAAATAGATGGTTTAAAGCTTTATTTTAGAAAACTATATGGTATGTGAGAAGTTTGCTGGCAATGATAAATAACAAATAGTTCTCTGATCCTGGGGCTTTTTTTAATGAAAGGTGAAATTTTTTTTTTACCAAATTTTCTTGTTTCCCATCCAGTGCAAAGATCAAAAT